CACACACACACACACACACACACACACACACACACACACACACACACACCATTCCCAGACAGGATCATACTGACAGCAAAGGTTAGGATTTCAACACATTTTTGGGGGGGGTGGGGGTGGCAACTTAATCCATAACGTAAGGGGTGTGTGTGTCAGATACAACCCCCACAGTGGATGAGAGGGAACTGCTTCCCACGTTCAATCTCCCGGTTTCCCCCACCTGGAAAGGGCAGGGTGACACTGAGACCAAAGCACTCGACTGGCAGTGGACCGGTTGCTCCCAGGGACCCACCGACCAGTGTGAGGGAGAAAGACCTGTCAATCAAGCCTCATAAATATCGCAGCCTTGGAAACCCCCTGGGGCGGTTCTGCTGGGCCCCCTGGGGACAGCCTACTGATGACCAATCATATCAGGTCTCTGGGGGCACAGAGGGTCTGGGCCCCGCTTCTAACCACAGAGGTGGGAAGCGTGGACCCACCCGGAGTACCACGGAAGAAAGGCATGGCAATTTGCTTCCGTTAAAAAACAAAACAAAAACATGACGATGGCAACATATGTACACATGTGCTTGATACTACTGATGTGTGGATTGTTACTAGAGCTGTACGAGCCCCAATAAAACGATTGCTTAAAACAAAACCCCACAGCTAAGAAAACCCTGTGGGCTGCCAGGAGGCGGACTGGACTTGATGGCAGTGGGCTTTTGTTTGCTTGCTTGTTTTTCGGGTAGCAATGACACCTCCTCAACTCTCTGTTCTTGTGAGCAGGGACACACTGACATACCGCCAAGTTTATCTGGGGTCCTTCCCTCCCCACGGCTTCCCCCTGTCCCCCACCCTCCACCCCAGGCTCAGACTGAGCTTTCTCTTTTGACTCTCTCCTCTGAAGCCCATCTGACAAAATGCTTGGAGTTACACAATGCTGGCAGCTGCAAAGCTCTAAACAGACTCAACCCACCGACCCACTCGGTTCCAAAGGGTGCCTTTTATGGTAGGTGGCCTATGATAATGAAACCATTACTTAAAAAAAAAAAAAGATCTTCAGTTTATGTGAAAAAGCATACTTTTGGGTACAGCGAAGCCTTTACCATGTTTTTCCCTCCATTTATGAGAGCAAACAGGTGTGGGTATTTGTTACTTTTGACATAATCCCCTGCACTTAAAACTGTGTATCTTCGGTAGACGTTTCCCAATGGGTAGATCTTTCTCTAGGAGTTCCCCAGGAGGGTGACCACGTTGATGAGTTTGGGTTGCTAAACCCCCTGGGCACCGCGCAAGAAACACCCTGCCATCTGCTTCTGAAAACGTCATGGAAATCTCACCGGGGGCCCAGCTCTGCCACTCAACTGATTTTTATCTCTCTCCGGACAACAGCAGGGAAGCTGGCAGGCAGGTTTTCTTGGAAACCCAACATAATTTCAAAAGCAACAAGATGTAGCTGGAGAGGCCCCGCCCCCCCTCCCCACCAGCTGGGCACATTCATCCTCCCAAAACATTCCCACGGGCAGTGCCAGCTCCGCTGCACCAGAAGCAAGGGTTTGCAAACCACCGTGGTGCTCCTCCCGCTCAGGAATGGAGAACGGGGAGACCACCGGGTACAGAGCAGAGCAGGCGTGGGTGTTGGGGTGCACTCAGTGCTCCCCAGCCCAGCCCTCTGCGACCGAGGGTTTGTACAGGTCCAGGGTGGAGTCTGAAGAAGTGGAAACATGCAGAGTGAGGGAGAAGCAAGGAGCAAACGTCAGAACTATGCCAGCCATGCGGTAGGTAAACACCCAAGGAGGCACAGCTGGTGACCGCAGCCCTGGTCCCGGGCGCTGACAACCAGGACAAGGACCCTGAAGCCGCAACCACTCCTGCGAGACATGAAAATCACACCTCCGAGGTGGCCTGAAATGGCTTCTGCGTAGCCCCAACTTCCAAAGGGGCGAGGGGGCGGGGCCCACGGAAAAGAAACAAATAAATCAATGCCAGTTCTTTCCCAGGTGCCCTTGAAAAAAAGAAGGGCAAACAAAACAAAACAAGGGCTCCTGAAACAAAACAAACCATGCTCACAAGAAGCTAAAGGTGTTATATGACGCTTTCCGGGCTGGGTGCGTTTATTGCATCGAGGCCACCTTTTGGGAGGGCCCTTGGTGCAGCGGATAAGCGCTCGCAGCGAATCAGAAGGTCAGATTGGAACCCATCAGCTGCTTGCTCCACGGG